CAGCTGGATTCTTGCAGCTGTGGGAAGAGGAGGAGGCAGGGAAGCAAAGACTCCATGTTTTCAAGAGCCAAAAGCTCCTACTCCATAATTTGTGCTGATTGTTGTCTGATACTTAAGGAAGGAGTTAATTAAGGTTCCAGCTCCATTCTCTTTCTTCTACAGCACTGAACAGCCATTTTTATTTGTGGTCTACCTGTTTAGTGTCCCATTTGTGCTTGCAGTAAAAACACACCTCATTGTCTTTCCAAATAGCAAGCCAAGGACTTTCTTTTAGTACTCCAAAATACAGAGATTTAGCTTTAGGGCTATAATGCCCAGTGCTTGAAGAACAAGGAACATGTGGAGCTCATTTATCCAGTCCCCTTCAGAGGCAGTAAGTGCATCCACATGCACACAGTGTTACAATGCAGAAGGAAAATTTACATGGACATGTATATTCAGGTGCCTTCCCTCCTCACAGCACTTTCCTGGGAAGGAAAAGGATGCCAAAACTTGGCACCAGCTTTGAATTACAGAGGACATCATTTCCCTGATGGGAAATTATAACCCTTTCTCTTCAGCCTCTTCCTTCTTTCCCTCCTGCACCCTCTCCACCAGGTTTTGTAGAGTTTCTGACTTCTGGCTTATTTTCCAGCACTTCCTCGATTTCTGTTCATTTTCCTTCTTCCAGGCCTTCACCTGTCCTTCAGTCCCACCCCTTACCTTGCTGTTACTTTGCATCTCACTCCATTCTGTGTTGGATCCAGGCTGCCAGCTGCAGGGAACACTAAAAGCACAGGAGAGGCAACTTCATATCCCAGTGCTGGAGCTCGTCATGTGCAGAGCCCTGGAGGAGCAATAACCACAGGTGAAAGTCACACTTTGCTCTAATAATGCTCTGTACAGAGGAGCTTCAATCAGATAGGGACTACCCTTGCAGTAGGTCCAGACATCCTTTACCACAAAAAAATTCAGCTTTAAATCAACCCTAGTGAAGATCATCCTAATAAGAACTGGGAGTTTAAACCATGCCTGATTTGGATTGTGATTTCATAGGAAGAATGAAAAGTGTGCTCACAGTGTTAGACAGGATCCCTCTCAAATCATACACACACACCAAATTTTGAATCCTGCAAGAAATCTTCGCAATTTGGTTTGGTTGAATTTTATTTTTCTCTTTTTTTTGGTAGGAAAAATCCTGTATTACTCTCTCTATTTACTTTGGAAACACTTGAATTATTTTTCCTGAGCCTTCTGTAGAAAAATCAGCTTGATGGTTACACTTTTTCAGACATGGGTAAATATCAGCAGAAACCAGCAATTCTGGCAATCTGGCAATCCCTTTAACACTGGTAAAGCAGGTCCTTTCCTCAGCAGGCAGTGGCTGTTGCCTTCCCACAAGGTACAATGAAACTGATTTCCTTTAAAGCATCTGGCTCCTCACATATAAACAACTTTTTCTAAAAATTAAATTGGTATCTGTATCTTGCACATATAGGAAAATGAGAAAAGCCTAGCTCAAAGAAGATGGGCCCAAACCTCCTGAACCCCTTGGAGCAGACAGGTACAATAGCTGGTCCCTCCTGACTTGGAGGAGAAAAAAAGAAACTGTAACTTCTCTGATATTTGGATTTCATTATGTGGCAGCTGGTAGAGTCCTCTGAAATGAGTTTTTCTTAGAAATACAATAAAGTAAAACTGGAACATAAATAGAAACCATGAAAAAATATAAATCTGAAGGCATTGAAAATGCCAATACATTAAATTTTCAATTTAATCAAAGTCATGGGTCATTTAATGCAATATGAAGAAAAAATATTGAGAAATGAAATCATGGCAGTTTATGCTGCAGTTTGTCTAAAAGACTCAAATTACACTGACTTTCTGTAGACCTCAACTTGTTTTAAACAAATTGACCCACCCAATCTAAGGCATGTGGGATTGTTTGGTCACTGTGAAAAAAACCCCCAACAGTTAATAGAGATGTTTGCCTGTTCTTACAGTGTGTGGGGGGTCCTAAGGAGTGTATGGCTCCCAGGAATAAACTTCCTTTGGCATGGCCTGAATCTAAACCCCATTGAACTCAATATTATGGTATCTGTAGTATTGGCTACAAGTGAATTAAGTTCTGAGCACTGCAACAACAAATGTTTCACCACAAGATTAAGGCATGGGATACTTGTGAGTACTCATGAAATGCTTGGGATCAGGAATGGGCTTCACTCTTCTGATTCCCTCCACTTTATACTTTGTTGGCAGGTTTTCTGTGCAAAAGTGCTCAGAAACTTGAAACCATATTTTGATCCTGTTGTAGGAAATAGGGAAAAGTATAAATCTTCTGTAAGACTAACTACTAGTCATGGGAAAAAAAGGAGGATAAAGTTGATGGTTCACATGAGTTTAGACTGCTAAACTAGAACACAGATGCATCTGCACTTTAAAATGGGAAGGATGTACAAAAGACAACTCCTGCATCATGTGATTTTCTTTATAGTCACTAAAAAAAAATAATAATAAAAAAAAAAATCATAGAATTGTTTGTGTTGGAAGGGACATTAAAGAACATTTTGTTCCAATCCCCTGCCATGGGAAGGGACAACTTCCACTAGACTGGGTTGCTCCAAGCCTCATCCAACCTGACCTTAAACACCTCTAGGGATGGGGCATTCACAGGTTGTGCTTTTTGTTCGTTTTCCCCCAGGAGCAGAGCTCAAACCAGCTCACTCCAGTTTGTTCCACATCTGCCTGGGGCAAGCCACCCCTTGCACCCTGCAAAGGAGTTCTGTGTGGAGGCAGCTGCCTGCAGAAGCCTTTGCTCCAGCTCATTCTGGGCTTTGTTTTCCACTTAAATGGGAAAGTCTTTTATCTGCTTACTTCATCTAAAGCCAAGCTCAGAATGCATTTGATTCTGCTGCCAGGGTGACTGCTGTGGCTGCCATGTCACAACTCACCCATCCACACTGCTGATCCTCTACACTGATGGAGGGTAATGCACACTCCCTTCCCATATGTTCAACCTAACTATGGGTTTGCTGTTTCTGAGCAATCAATGAAACACAGATGACAGATAACTCTTTTCTGTCTCATTATTTTCCAGGTTTATCTCTCCAAGCCTGGCTGCACACTGTAAATGGCAAACACAGCTACAGTACTAGTCAGCAGTGGAATGTGATGGTTCTGTCCTACACCATAGAATTTAAAACCTGCTTTCACCCTTGTCAAATCTCTCAATTAAAATCCCAATCACAGCTTTTCTTATCTTTTGGATATCATTGGCCCAAGGAGAGAAACATAGTTTTCTACTGAAAAAATCAGGTGATGCTTCATCTATGCCCAATATATTAGTCATGGAGAAAAAAAAATGCATTAAAAGAAACTTGTGTTTCTTAGAATGAGGAAAATCAGAGCTTGCTAAGATGCCACTCTGTACTTCAGTTCAACAGGATAAAGGAACTGGACATGTAATAATACTTTTCTTGCAAATTGTACCAAGATCACTTTAAACAGCTAAATAATTACAATTACAAAGACATTATTTTCAGGCCCTTAAGGAAAAAATGAGGTTATGTAAGAATGAAGTGCAACAGAAATACTCTTTCTTTCATATTTTTGAACATTTGGATGTGATTTGTCACTGTGTTTACATTTAAATGCTTTGTGGATCAAGGCACGCTGGGGGAATTAGGTTTCACTTATTTGAAAGTTCAGATGAGTTATTTGAGTATATATTTGAGTATATATGAGTAGCCATTTTTAAGCTTGGGTTTTAATATTCTACATTGCCAGCCACACTGAGGCAGGGGCTGAGTGAACATCTGCCAGCAGCACCACAACCAGTATTGGTGATTTTGGGTAGTGACTGGAATTGGAATATTTGCTGAAAATTGTGAGGTTAAATAACAACAAAAAAACAAAACATAACCAAAAAAAAGAATTTTTTCTGCCCTATTTTCTTAGGTATTCACACTTGTAAACTTTTCCATGCATCAGTAAGAGCTAGAAAAGAACTTCCTCATGCATTAAAAAAAGCTGAGTTTCCCATGTTCCAGGGGCTGGGACTGCAGAAAGACAACAGAATAAATTCTGAGAATTGCAGTGTTCTGTAAGAGAAACAGTTGGTGAGAGCTGAAATAGCATCACGTTCCTTTGACTGCATAACTTTGATATTTAAATTATCTTGCTGCATTGTCTTCCTCTGAAAACTGAACCTTATGTAATTGGGAAACAATAATCTAATATCATAATAGAGTTTTATCATGGCCATTAGCCAGCCTCTCCAGTGGAAATAAATGCCTATTATTAGTCCAATCTATCACAAGATCTTGCAGCATTTAGGACATTCCCTTGGGTCATCATTGCACACACCTCCTGTAGTGAATCTTAAATTGTGACAAATAATATCTTTTTCTCATGGATTCCCCCCTCTTCTATATCTGTTTGTCTTGCACAACATAAGAAATTTTTTTATGCAGCAGGGTAAATGGTGGTTAATGAATGATAAAAAAATAATTTATCCTATTAAATCCAAGTCTTTGTTTCCTGTTTCAGTGTGGTTTAGACACGCAAAGATAGCATGATAAATATTTTATGAGCAGGATCCAGCCAACACACAGTGATAGGATGCTGCCATGATTAAAGGAGGTGTTTAAACTTAGAGGTAGATTCTGGGTCCAGCTGCCATGAAGCAATGCTTACTCACACTGGAGCAGGATTTCCAGAAGCCCTGGATAGCCCTGGCATGTGCACCCTTCTCATTTCCTCCACCTTTCCCCCTGACAAGGTGTCTCAGATGCCCTTCTGTTTCTCCTTACAGGTCAGCAGCACAAGCCCCTGGCAGTGCCCTCTCTGCCTCAGCTGCAGCCTGCCAACAGCAAAAGGACATTTGCCAAAAACCTCTGTGCGAGTCCTTCCCGCCAGGAAAATCCCCTACAATCACAGCTGCATCCAATTCCTCACAGTCAGAGCACAAATTTAACATCCCTCCCACCCTGCTTCCTTCAAGATCTTCCCACCAGGTCCAGCAAAGACCTTATGACACCTGGCAGAGGGCAAGGCTGGCTGCCAGCATCCCTCCTGCCCAGCAGGACCCTCCTGCCAGCCACCCTTCAGAGAATTACTGCTAATTGCAGCAAAGAGCTTCCTGCTCAGACTCCTGCCACTAACACACCTTCCTGAGCACTGCAATCCTCTACCTGGCAGTAAACCCACCTCTCCCTCCTGGCACCACCAGCTGACTGAATGCAATAAGGACACGTGAGGCAGGTGGTGCATTTAAAGCAGTCTTTGTGAAAGCAGAGCCCTTCCCTGACAAAGATGTGGTAAGAACAGAATTGTAGTGGTGAGTAGGATTGTATTTGCTTTGGGAAACATGGTGGTCACTCCATTATCAGGATATTGGGAAGAAATTTTTCACTCTGAGCGTGGTAAGACACTGAAGCAGGTTTTCCAGTGAAGCTGTGGATGTCCCATCCCTGAAAGTATTCAAGACTGGGTTGTATGGAGCTCTGAGCAACCCGAGATGGTGGAAGGTGTCTGCCTCACAGTAGAGAGATGGAACTGGGTGATCTTTAAGGTCTCTTCCAACCTAAACCCATTCTATGTTTCTATGATTTTATGAGAAAAATTTCTCCAGTCCAAACAAAACCAACTCCATGCCAAGTCAAATGACAGGATAACTTTCAATTGCTTAGAAATATGGAGTGAAAAACACTGGACCAGGGGTGAGGACAGCCAATTCCCTTACCCTGAGTGTACTGTTGTGTGATTGCTCTGTGGGTTGAGCTTGGTGGGTTAAAAACAAACTCAAGTGTCCCCTCACAAAACAAGAAGTAATTCTTAATGCACTTGCACATTATGCAAGAGTGAGGGCAAGTGGCAAACTGGCGGAAGCAAAATCCATTTTGTTCTGACTCAGTTGGTGGGAGCAGGCTGGGAGTCAGCCAGAGGTTAAAGATGGATTTGCCTCTTTAATCTGTTCAGCCTCAGTGGCAGGGCTGGATCAGGAGCCATTCACTTCACGCTCTGCAGTCCTACTGCAGGCTCTCTCCTCCTCCTCCTCCTCATGCTCTCCCAGCCCACCCATCCCCTGAGCACCTTCAGTGGCTCCTAAGGCAAAAGCAATCTCATTTTCCTTTTCCTGCTGGTTTTGCTGTTTATTTGATGTTCAGCAATGAGGAGAAGGCTGAGGGGCAAACTCCTTCCCTGCTGCTGGCTCACAACCCTTTAGGGAAGCCCAGCAATAACGCAGAGCAAATCCCATCGTACAGCAGCCAGGCTCAGAAACCCTGCCTGGCCAAGGCTGTTCCCCTGCTCTGTGTGCCTTAGGAGCACTCAGGTGTGCTCCTGCACAGCCCTCCAGTGCTCCCAGAGAAATCCCAGCACAGCAACTAAATACAGCACTGAACTGCTAATAAAGCTGCTTCTGTGGAGCAAGCTCCCGGTTCCCTCCCCTCTCCACACTGGCTCCAAAATCCCCACCTGCAGAGGGTGAATATAGAGAAATGTAAACAATTCCATGAGCAATTTTGATGTTGCCATGAGTGCTGAAATCCTCACTGACTGATCTGATGCTCTTGGATAGTAATTTTTGTCCTACAAAAAGGCCATTCTTACACTTTCTTTTTTCACAACAATTATATGACTTGATTTTCTGCTACAGCACCTTAATTCAACCAATTTAAACATTAACTTCTAGACAGGGCTGAATTATTTTCAGATGAAATAACACGTAAATTCCATTAGTTTTTATAAGACAGTGAAGATCCCAAATGATATTTTTGCTCTAGCAGGAAAGCCAGTGTTCACTAAAGAGGTGAGTAGCCAGTAATAAAACCACAAAATCTTAGGGGAATGCTGCTACTGGTTTTTAATTTCTCTATATATAAAGTGAACCCCCATCATGATGTCAGATGCCTGATATCCTCTACCCTTGGGAAAGACTCAAGGACAATTAGTGGTACAGTTGATGTTTTGCTATCATGTGTCAAATCAAGCAATTATGGTTTAAAGTAATTTTTCAATAGAATATCAGACATCCAGGTGCTATCAGAGAAAAAAAGGCAGAAATACAGAGTGGAAATAAAAGCAAATTGAAAATAAAAAAGGCAAAACAGAAGGGAATATTCATATACTCTGAGGGAGAGAAAAAAGGCCATGAAAATGCAAAGCAAGCTGAGGGTTTTGTGTCAGGTCTACATGGCTCATATTTAGTAACTGAGACCTTATTCTCCATTATCACTCTGTAGTCCAGGGAAAGGCTAGATTTTCACTTCAGGCAATTAAATTACTCTGGTTTGATGGTTGGTTTTTTCGCACTTGTTCTTTGTTTCCTTAACTGCACAATGTCATTAATTGGTATCAACCCAGATTGCTTCAATCAGCTCATTCATCTGTAAAGGCCACCAGCTTTCAATCCAATTCCTTTTCATTCACTGTCCTGGTGTAGTTATCTTTCAAGAATGCACATTAATTTGTGCTCAGCTAATGTTTGGTTTTTGAAATATGTTTGGATGTGTGTGCAGTGTCAATATTTGATGAATTTACTCAGGAAATGCAAAGGTGAATTTATTGCCTGAATCATTAGACTTAGGGATTTTTTATTCATTAGGCATTTGTATCCACACCACCTTTTAAAATATACTTGGTCATCACACAGAGGTGATATAACATTGCTGGCAGGACCATTATATCTGTTCCAACACTTTAGCTAGGCCTGGTGCTTCAACACCAGCTAAATTCCTTGATCCAAAGCCCTCAGCTGTCCCTACCCTCTCTAACCTCCTTATCTCCCATATGTTGTTTGCAGCTAAAGTGATTTCTATTCTTTAAAACAAGATGCTATAAAAAAGGATCTTTTTTTTTTTTTTTGGCTTCCATTAGGGTAAAGCTCAGCCAGGCAAAGATAATGCTCAAACTACTTAAAATCTTGGAAGTGGTTATTGTTTAAATTCTTAGAGCCTCTTATATAGCTCAGCCTGCTTTAAATGTTTAGAGTGATTCAAACCTCCTATAGGCTCATGACTGAAACAGGCACTACACATGGCATTTGTTCAAGGTCATTAGAAAAATTCACTTATTCTTTGTTTCCACATCATTTGGCTCAAGTCCCTTGTCAAACAATAACCCCCTAATAAAGTGATTAGAAGAACATGATTAGAAACATGGTGAATACTGCTTGAAATTCTTGAATCCATTAGTGTCTCACTTTAAGGAGCTCTATCTTGTAGGTACAATAAAAGAAGAACTGTGTCACATAAATTTCTGCACCTGCTACAGTAGAGGGGTTAGAACTAAATGATCTCTAATGTTCCTTCCAATCCAAATCGTTCTGTAATCCTGTAATTCTGCGACTCTGTGACCTGAAAATCCTTCATGTGTACAAGAAAAAAACAAAGGAAAAGAGGAAATAAAACCAAGACATAAGATCATAATTTTGGGCTGAAGATTCCCTGCCATATCTTGTGGGGAAACTGCCAGAACTTTGCCAGAGCTCTTGGATGACCCTGCTTGAGCAGGGAGATTGGAACATATCCACTGTGTTCCCTTCCAGCCATACCCATCCTGTGACTCTGTGATAGCATGAAACTGTAGTCAGAATCTAAATTCTCAGGATCTGTTTCAAGCTGGTTTGTTCCTTTAAGAAAACCTTGGCCTTCAAGTTAAAATCCAGTACAGGGAATTTGAATCTGAATTGAATTTGCTGGAAGATGACAGAAACAACAGGAATTCTGAAACAGTAGGGTTTGAGAGGGTTTGCTAGGTGACTCCAAATCCTGCAGGTGATTGGTGTGTTACAAGGGGCATGATCAGAAAATATGCTTTCATGTAAATTTTATCATTTGTTTTGGTTATCTAAATAATAAATAATAATATGATAATTATAATAATAAATTATAGCTGATCTTAGCAACTCCTATGAGCTCTATGAATTTGTATCTTGCACCTCCAAAAAGCCATCAAATTTGAAGCCAAAGAGCAAATGTAAGTATATCAGATGTAAATATTTCTGTTCATAACAATTTCAGTGCATCCCATGCCATGGACTAAGAGCATTTGTGAGTGGAGGTCAAAAGGAGTGGCTGCTGCAGTTCTCCTTGCAAGACATCCCCCTGCTTCCAGATTTCAGTCTGGGATGGGACTGACCTTGTTCTTGTTTTGAAGAATGTATGCTAGCTGACTGCTGCTATGCAGATGATGGCTGAATGAAGGAGGAGGAATAAGTAGGAAAAAGAACAGAGTATGGAAAAATAGAAATGTGCAGTTATTCTGTTCCTTGCATTCCTCCTACATGCAAAGAGCAGCAGGGGAGCAGTAACAAAACATCTTTGTGTTCTTGAAGACATAACACCAAAAGCTGTGCAGCTGTTCCCCAGCTAAGGGGTAGTCCAGTCTCTGAATAAATCTTGATAAATCAAGGAATTCTTTCTTTGAAGTTACATGCACAGCACTTTTTAATTCCAGTTTTAATTTAGTCTCTGAAACCTCAGGATCCTGACTTCTTTGTGGGTTTTTTTCTTGGTGATCCCTCTTACTCTTCCTACAGAGTGTCTACCACCATGGTAGTGGTGGATCCCTGAGTGCATCCCTCCAGCTAAGCAGAACTCACCTGCACGACCCCTCTGCATTGGTGAGTCCTGGAGCATGACAGCATTGACAGCTGAGGTGGGGCTGGGGCCTTGGCACTGTTTATTTATTAATGAAAGCATGAGCACAGAGTCCAGCAGCTGCAGTCAGCAGCTCACGCTGGCTGGTGACACCCGTGGCCGGTGTGCAAGGCGTGGTGCTCCATCACCTGGGATCCCCAGTGGCCCTCCTGTACACAGCCACTCAAACCTCTCTGCCAGCAGCAGGAGCCCTCCTGGACTCCTAGGAGCTTGCCAACTCCCACAGGCAGAAAGCTGTTCTATAAACTGAAAATCAGCAGTGGAGATTGCAGTCACAGTTTATCTGCGCTGCCTCAAATGTGTCACTCGCTGGGCTTTAGCAAGGGAACAGCTCACATGGCTTGCTGAAAGTCAGCCAGACTTTCCCTGGTGGTGTTTAAGGGCTGGATGGGCTCTGGGGAAACTGGGTGGTCTTAAGGTCCTTTCCAACCCAAACTATTTCATGATTGTATGAAAACTGCTGGTTTCATACCAATACAGACAGGACAAGCTCTTCTTTTCCTCTCTCACTCCCTCTCCTTGGAACTCCTGAAAAATATTTTAAACATTATTTAAGTGTGAAATACCTTAAATCCCTCAGAGAAGCAATTCCTTGCCTCTTGTGATATCTCAGAGCCACCCTGGGGAAAGGTCTCCTGGCAGGATGGGACATCTCCATGGCAGCAGAGCATGGCCTGGGCTGCCCCTTGAGAGCCCTCAGCAGGGACACTCAAACAAGCCAGAGACCCAGACAGGCTGTGGAGAGTTTGTTATTCATTTTTCTTCTGTTAGGGTGACAGGAGCAAAGAACAATTACAGCATTTTTAGTCCAGCTGACAAATTACATGTTAGCTCAATTTAGCCTAAGCACAATTTCCCAATCAAAGTCAAAGCAAAACAACCAAGCAGGCTTATGTTTTCTAAAATTCATTAATCCTGTTTGTCTTTTTCACCTCTATAGATTACTATTATTATACCATGTTCTGAAACAAAGAAAAGAACATGAATTTTTGTTTTGTTTTCTGGTTGTATTTGGGTTTTTTCCTCTTCAAAGGTGTCTACATTGCAAAGTTACAAATATTTAATTAGTGAATGGAAATTCCACTGACTGACCAAATGCAATTAAGCTACCCAACTCATTTAAAAACTGGATGTGGATTTAAATAAGGCTCAGCATTGTGGAAGCTGCCTCCCTCTGATGGACATTTTTGGTTGGGATCAAAACAAAAAGAGATTAATTTCTTACTAATTTATGGCTAATTTCTTACTAATTTGTTTCACTCATTTCTGCTGTTAATACAGATATCCACTCCCTGCCACTGACAAATGGAAAGGATGGAAATGGAAAGGTTTTTTTCTAAAGCTAAAGAATGCCAAAAAATTGTCACAGAGAATGAAAAGGAGAAGTAGGATCTTTGACATGTTTTGCTCAAAATCTGGTATTGATTCCCCAGGGAGCAAGATCCAGAATAACCATCTGTATGTGTGGGGAGATGCCTCGAGCTAATCATTGTATGCTACCCCATGGAGAAGTGTCTTTGAACTCCCAGATTGTTCCAGTTTTCAGAAGCTCGAGGCAGGAAACAGGTCCGTGGGATCCCACACCTGGAGCTCTCTCAGGAGGTAAAAATTGTATCCATAATTTAAAAGAATTAATCTCAAAGAAAACTTTAGGTTTTCTCCACAAAGAGATATGCAGCAAAGGCTGTTTTAGTTATAAAAATCATGTGTAGGCGATTCTTATTATTCTACCCATACAAATGAACTGAAAACTGCCCTAGATTTAGGTGCCAGAATTATTTCTGACTTTTATTTCATGAATGTATTATTTTTATATATTTTTAATGCAGTGACTTTTTTTTTATTTCCTGGGAAACACTTCAAGGATTTAGAACTCCCCTTTTCCCACCTGAAATTCTCATAGATTTTGAGTTCTTCTACCCTATTTTCTGAAGTCATAGGCCTCCTGAAATCTGTTAGATGGGAGAAATTAAGACAGGGCTAGCTTGCATCTAAGTTTTCCACTTCTGGAGGAAGTTCTTATTTGGTTTTCAGGTAGAATGTAGAGGAGGTAGAATTTAAAAAATGTATAAAGAATCACCACTTTACTTTTGTGAATGTCTTAACCAAAGAGCTGTGAGTAGACTTGTTCATTTTGATGCTTTATTGACCAACAGACAGCAATGTCAGATTCTTGATGCTCACTGAGTTTAATCAAACCAGATGTCTGAGGGCAGGAATCCATTTTGCTCTTAGAATGATAACCTAGTGAACCTGCCTGGCAAACAGGGTGATTTCTAAGCCCAAGTATCTCCCTTGGTGAAGGGAGTTTTTTGGATGTAAATATTCATGGAATCACAGAATGGTTTGGGTTGGAAAGGACCTCAAAGACATCTTGTTCCAAACCCCCTTCCACAGTCAGGGGCACCTTCCACTAGACCAGGTTGCTCAAGGAAATCCTCATCCAGCCTGGCCTTGAACACTTCCAGGGATGGGAATTTGAACTTAAGTACCTGCATCTATCTATTAAATGACACCTGCATCTTCCTAAACTCATTGATTGTTAACATTATTTAATAACATTGTAAGTGTTATTTTAAAATACCCTAAGGTACTGGAGAATACTTGGGTGTCCATCTGTGCCTCACCCCTCCTCTCCTGTCAGCCCAAATTCCTCACAGGCAACACTTGCAGGCAGTGCAAGCACCAGCTAAATCACTGGGACTGCCAGGTTTTCCCAGATCTCAGAGAAGATAAATGATAGTGGGTAGTTCTTGTAGCACATAATGCTTTTCATCCACAAAACATGCAGCTAATATTCGTTCAAAACCGGAGAGATTTATGCAATAAAATTCTGCTTATAGAGGCGTTCCAAATCACAATAGAAAAGATTGTTAGACAGAAGCCAATGAGGCATTACACACCTTGTAGATGTTTCCTAAATACATTTCTGCTGGATTGTTGAGGAAATTAGAGTTGCAACAGTCGAGAGATCATCTATTTTAGGGCATAGTTAATTTTGGACTTGCCCTTGGAGTTATTAATTTTAGATATGCAATACCCTTTCAGTGTCTGTGCACCTACATTTAAAACCAGACACTTTCAATGTATCTGCAATGTCTCTGACATCCTTTAGACATTCATTTTAGGATGAAATGAACCCATCCAAAAAGGACAGGCTTCTCTTCACCGAGGGACAGAGGTGGGCTGGTGAAAGGTAGGCCTTGGAGACAACCAGTTTTGCCAGATAAATGCTCTTTGAAGTACAACTGCTAAAGCCTAGTACTGTGCTGTAAGTAATCATGAACACTTTGTCCACAATACATACATGTTTTTCCTTTTTTTTTGGGGGGGGGAGGTGGGGTGTGTTTGTTTTGTTTTGCTTTGTTTTGTTTTTTTCATCTTTAAATGTTTTTTGGGGTTTTTTGTTGGTTTTTTTTTTTTTTACACTATAGTTAAGATATGTGGAAGACTTTGCCTATATTAGTAAATAAGGGGCATGGGATGAAGTCCTGCCTGTGAGTGCCCATGCTGCTTAGTGCAATGTCCAAAACTGTCCCAGACATTGTACAGGCCTGGAGCAGGGAACAGCATCAGCCAGTGACTGTACCCAGTAAGAAATTTGGACTTGGGATGTGGAGAGGTGAAGATGGGAGATAATTCACCTTCTTTGACCTCAGCACTAGAAAAAGATGGTTGACTAATTTTATTAGATAGTACAAATGTGGGTATTTCACCCCAAAATGTTGAAAAGTTGCTGAATACTTCAGGAGGAAAAAAGCCCAAATGGATTTGACATAATATGGGAACTTGGCATTTGCTCCAGGTTTGGGAGTAGTGACACAGGATTATGATGCCTCACAAGGCCACAGTTTTCTTTCAGCTCTTTCTTTTCCACTCTCTTGCATAACACAGTGAAAGACATGGAACAGGCTTGTATGCTTTGGGAGAATCATCTGTCAAATATTCCTGAGGTGGAAATATTGATTTTACTTTTGAGGCATGATGAAACGAGAAGGTTGGAGGTGGGCTGAATGGTTTGATGCAATGTCATTCACAATTCCTTCACTGACACCCATGTCACAAAAAATGCAAAATGCATGTTCACCTTTATTAGTAAATATAGATTGAAAAATCTATATGAATAAAAATATGAGTTGCTATGGGCTCTTTACTGATTTAGTATCTTCCACGATTCTGAGCTCATTGCCTCACAAATTTATGAGAAATAAGAAAGCTGTAAGATTTAGATTTTAAACTTTCTCTTCACACATCTTTTTTTGACACCTCTGATGACCTGAGAGGTGAGGCCACCTCTTTGTGATTTCCTGCCACCTCCCTGTGATTTTCATTCGAACCTGACTGAACACTTAGAAAAAACAAAATTCATTTGGATGAGTCTGCAAATAATTTTTTGTACTTCTCTAGGCTTTTCCATATTTGCATGAGTCAACTAATTTCAGGGAGTGCTCACATACCTTTGCAAACTTAGGCACAAATTAATTAGGACCAGAGCTCAGCTCATGAAGTGACTGAATGACTTGTGAAAGCCGATGACTCCGTGATGCAGTTTCACAGAGCAAGATCAAAAACTCAGGAGGGTTGATGGATACCCAGGCCAGTACCACACAGTGTAGTTTGATTTAATTCAGCACCCAAACTTGTCTGTTTAAAGACAGCTCAGTTAACAACAGCCTGCCCTGTGTTGTTGGTGAAAGAGGAGCAGCAGTATCCTGTAGCATCAGCAAGTTTCAAAGAGCATGGGAAACAAGCAAAGGGACTTTGCTTGAATTGTTAATGAATTATGGAAATTACAACATTACAGAAGGAGCAGAGATAAAATGGTTCATTCTCACAACCAAAGAGAGGAGAAAAAGCTGAAGACTGTGCATTTATCAGAAGAGTTGATTCTGCTGCTGAGAACATTTTGCCAATGAAAAAATTAAATGCCATGAATTATGGAGATTGTTTAATGTATGTGACTGCTCTGAATAGAAGAAGGTACAAAGGCATGTCAAAAGAGTGGGAAAATTAGCAGCTGAATTTGGCAGCTAGTGAGGAAAGAAGGCCATGTGCGAGTCATCATGACAGCAGAAACCAGTAAACAATCAGGGAGGGCTGAGACGTGGCTTGATGCAGTAAGAGAGGACTGGATGTGTGTGTGGTGAAAAAGCCTCTGAGAATGAACAGAGAAATTGTGCTCTGAAGAGGCTGGGAGCAGTCTATCAGAAAGCTGCAAGTCTACAAAAAATGTGGTTGGAACAGAGCTCATTGGGGATAGCTGGAATTAAAAGATTTGTGGGTTTTGTTCATACAATGGTTTTGATGCAAGAACACCACATTGTTTTATATGTTCCATAAAAAATAAGTTTTAGCACAAATTCTAATACTACCAGATGTTTGCCTCCAAGTTAAGTCTTTTGTCTGAGAAATGTTATGTTTCCTCACAGAAGTAATAATGTGACTGATTTATATCCTTCTCTCCTTTGTAGGTAGAGCTTTCGTTTAGGCTTCATTCCCATGATCTACCACAATGTTCCTTCTTCCAAAGGATATATCCCCAAGGAATTGTAAGCCAGCCATGTAGCAGAGCTTGGGAAGAGGAACATGAGGCAACTGACCCATTATTCCTGTGGGACACCATAAAAGTAGAATCATTGAGTTCCAGGGCATTCGGGTTTTCAACTCTGTAGATTTATCTTTAGAGAAAGCTTTTGTGGGGAAAAAAGCTTTTATCAGCAATCCTGTCTCAGTGAAAAAAACCAAAAGTTCAGTGTAAATTCCACAGATATTTCTGGAAAAGAGACCTGGCAAGGTGAGAAATATCAAGACCCAGGTGGTTTGAAATGGGAGGATGCTGGAGTCACTGCAAGTGGCCGGGTGATGTGGTGGATCAGTGAGATGGAAGATGATGGAACCAGTGGCAGGGCTGGGGAGGAGAAGAATGAAGGGGAGGAGAAGACAAAAAACCTCAGAATTTCATGTGGTGGGCTGGGTTCAGAAGAGAGGGGTACAGGGCAAAGAGCTGTGAGCAAACCATTGTAACTTGAACATGGTACAAGTGCAAAAAAGTTTCTCTTCCTTCTGTTCACTTTCAGAAGCCAGATGATCCCTCGTCTCCAAGGCACCTTATCAGAGTTAATAGGAAAACATTGGGAAAAACAGAACAAAAGGGGAAAAAACTTCCATAAATTCTATTCATGGATAAACAAAGCTATATCCTCCTGTATCCACAGGTCTATTAGTGTAAGTATTTTAATTTGATGCAATGTTTTGGTCATAACTTCTCAGTGTGGCATGAAAGTAATTCAAATAAAGGGGTCTGCAGAGGCATCAAATTCCAATCTCCCAGCTGTGTTGTGAAGCTTAGAGATGGTTACATCCATAGACCAAGCACAGAACTTTGCTAGACATTTATTTCTTATCTGTATTTAAAATAAATGTGCCTTTTTCTTACCCTCACAGAAAAAGGTCTTTGTGTCTAAGTGTGTCAGTGGGATTCCTTTGAACCTAAACCCTTGTTTTATAGAACCATTTTTATTCACAATTGGAGCTATGGGGCCTGATCCTATTTTCACACTAGAAAATGCAGTCGATTTCAATCCAGCCAGTCGTGG